GGGCGGGGACCTCGGTGCGAGCTAGCCCCCGGGCCCAGGTGTCCCAGCGCGCTACGGGGACGTGCGCCCACGCGGCGGCACCATGCCCGCAGGCAGGTGCGGCGTGACTCTCCCTACCCCCTGAGCCAGCTTCCCGGGGACGGGTTGTAAGTCAAGCCGTTGGCGCTCCTGTTCCAACAATATTCCTGCTATTTTTTGCCATTAAAATTGTGTGTTTCCCCTTCCTCCCCGCAGAGACCTTGGTAAAACCGACCAAGAGCGCTGGCCCTGGGCCGGTGCGCGGCTGCGGGCGCTCGCCTTGGTTTGCTCGAGCCTCCGGCTTCTACTGGCTTTCCCTGCATTTACTCTAGTAGTCCCTAGCGTGCCTTTAATTGCCGGCCTGAATTTTGTGAGAAACGTCTAAATACGTTTGGGGATTTTCTTTTTCACCGCAAAGGGCGTCAGGGCAAAGCTTTGCTTCCGAGCGGAGCCCTAAGCCGAAGGCGGCCCGAACGCGCCAGCTTTGCTGCGCGGCTCCCTCGGCTCGGACAGCAAAGTTTGCCCTGCCGTGTTTAGGTCACTGGTTTTTCTTCCTACCTAGCACAAGGGAAGAGGCTATGACATGCTTTTTTAAAAAAAGCCTTCGACTCACGTCTGGTTAAACGCTACCAGTTTTAGCAGTGCACTTTGGTAACGTGGGGTGGCCCAAAGCTTTCCTCCGTTTATGAGAAGGGAACGCTGATAACGCCCTTTGCTGGATTTTCCGTGTGTCCATACGTTTCCTGTGTGTTTTAGTGTACACATATTTTTTCCAGCTGTATGTTGCATATGCACCCGCTCCTGCCTGTGTCTTCATGTTTTGGAAGCTTTTTAGTCTGGATTTTTTTCCCTTTCTTTCATTTGTAGCAACTGGGCTCCTATTTCTCCAGAATCAACCCCAGCGCCAATCCTCGGGACCGCCGCTAGTAATTTTTTTCCTCAAATGTGTTCACACAAATTACACGACTCTTACGTGATGTAACGGCTTTCTTTTTAAGCGGCCGGCGTGGTTGATGGGTACAGGCTGCTGCGTTGGCTGCTGCTGTCAAGGAGCCAAAGGGTCCGTGGTTGAGGCCGTTACTTACGGAGCGGGTAAAACCAGCGCAGCCTGTCATGTCCCTGTAAACACCGCATTGCGATAACGTGCGTTTTGGACAAAAAGGACGTGCCTGGCTGCGTACCAGTCCGCTGCGTGCTGCGGAGGGGACAAAGTGTTGGGCTCAAGGACTCTTGGAGCTGGTGTGAGAAAGGTGCGGGGCACACGGAGCCTGGGTCTGGTGTCGTGACCTCCGCACGCGGTGGCACCGGCGTGCGTCCTCCTGGGCGCTGGGGACGGCTGGCCCCAGGTGCCCCTCGTTCCCAGGACCCCCCGCGATGAGCAGTCGGCTGCAGTACGGTGCGCTCGCCGCGCACGTGGGGCTCCGGGGTTGGGGGGGGACCACCTCGGGGAGCTGAGACAGGCGCTTCGCCCCAAACTTGTGAAGCTCCTCTTCAACAGAACAATCCTTGCTATTAGCGTTTCTTTTCCTGCCTTTGTTTTTCTTGTCACTGGCAAGTTACTTACCGACGTTGCTCCTGGAGATCCAGTCATCCCCACCTAAGCACGAGAACAGTTTTACCAGAAGAACAAAGTACTGTTATAAACATTCAAACTAGCTGAAGTGTCTGGTTTCAGGCAACTACACTGTAGGCTTAAATATTTTAGGAAGGTTTCGTTAAAAATAACAGCAAAGGAAGAGCAGCAAAACACCATTACCTACATGAATACATTTTAAATAAAATATTACCTAGTTCTCATTCCTTGATAGAAACCTATGCTATTGGGATTTTTCCTATGCAGAAAGGAACATAATTACTTGAAAAAAACCCAGCATGTATAAATGCAATGCACATTTTAATGTTGTTAGTTCTGTACAAATGTAATTACAATAATATGTCTGTGAACATTGTATCTTTACATTATATTTTGTATTTGATCAAAACGTTATGCACATATCCATGCACACACAAACCAAAGCCAGTATATGACCCCAAAGATTTGGACACCATGTTAAACATTCAAAGAGCATTGAACTGTTTGATTTAACTTGCATTTTAGGATACACTCTGAGGAGGTCAATTTTATGAGTTACTCGGAGATCGGTTTTGTCTATAATTTAGATAGACAGAGGTGCTACATGTACGGGGATGAGATTTGGTGTTGAACTTCAGCTGGAAAAGGATTAGACCCCTCAAGTTCTTTGTATTTGTATGTTGATGTAATGTAGGGTGAGTAGATGATCTGCATGGGAAGCTCTTGGTTTCACCCTGTGCCTTTCCGTTTGTCACAGGATTATGATTTAAGCCAGCTTCAACAGCCGGAGACCATGGATCACGTGCTGAACAAGGCACCTGGCGTCAGAAGGGTAGATGAGAGACCTATTGGCGCTGAACCACAGTATCCTATAAGACCAGTAATCCCACATCCTGGGGATATTGGTGACTTTATTAACGAGGTATGTTCTTGAGGGTGTCTTGTGCCACATCTTTAAAGCTGCGGCGGCCAGCTAGCATCAGCTATGCAGCATTTTCCAATGTGCGTTATGGACCAAACAATGCTATTGCCCACACGTTAAGTCTGATCAAAGCCAGTGGAGCAATTTGCATGAGCAGAGGAAGCAAGACTTGGCCTAATAAAGGCATCAGCTCTGCAAAAAGCCAGAATGCAAATAAAAAGGCCATTTGATTTGTGGGTACCTCAAACAGCATGTTTTTCAGCATCCTGGCGGTATAACCTGATCCCACTCTCACTTTGATGGCTGAGAGCTGCGGTTGCTGTCAGTAAAAGCATTATCCAGATCCGGACAAAGGAGGAATTTCTTGCTGATGGGGAGGCCGTGGCGAGGAAGTTGAACGGTTTGCCTAAGGCCAAAGGTGCCATTCGTGACTCCCGAGCTTGTAATTATTTCACCAGTCTGTCTTCCTAGTAAGCTCTGTTTGGTCTAAAACCTCAAAGAGTTGGCAGAACAGACAGATTCTTGTCAGATCACGGAGGCTTTCTTTCTTTTACATTAGATTACTGCTCCTTATCTTTTTTTTTTACAAATATCTACCCATTTAGTATTTCTTATCTCATTTTTAGTCTTAAAATGAGTGAGTGTGTGGTTACAAACCAATCAATGCATTATTTCCTCTGAGACCCAACACACTACCCATTTCCTAAGTCAGAAAAATAAATGTTATAGCAATTTAATTCTATTATTACATCAATTTCCTGCTGTGCTTTTTCTCATTTTCATCATTAAAATCCTTCCCTTGTTTTTGTCCTTCCTTCGTGCGCGCACACACACACACACACACACACACCCCTTCACGTCTCCGTACATGCGTGTACGTGGATACTCCCTCTTACACATGCTCCAGCTGCTATTCCCTGCGATAAAACAGGCGCCGGCTCCCCACCGCGAGCCTGTAGTTTCTGAAAGTGTGCACGCAGAACATTTTTCTTCATTGCAGGTCTGCTCCATTAGGCTTTTTCTAACGCTGGGCTGGAGCGAAGCGCTTCTGCTTCTCCATACCCCGAGGCCATTTCGGTGGCCTCCCTAGGGTGCTGCGTTGCGCAAATGGGACCAGCACTGCTTTCCGACCCCCGAGGACACTCTGGCTAGGATTTCCCACCCCAAGTCTCTGCTAAATAAGAGGAAATAGGAGTGATTTTTTTTCTTCTGAAGGATTCAAAAAAAAATAGCTAATTAAAACAATGGTGGAACAACAGGTAGAAGAGGAAAGGGAGCTATTCGTTCTTCCAGTGGGCAAGCTGGAAATCTTAACAGGCAGCCCCGAAAGGGACACGCTGGCCCAAAATGAAAGCTTTCCAGCCCCGGGGCAGGTAGCTGAGTCCTTGGCAATAACTCACCTGGAAATAAGCTCCGGCCAGCTCGAAGCGTCGGGACGTAGCGTAGCCTGCGGGGAGGGCGCGGGGTGATGGGGAGCCCAAAGCCCCCCAGGGGTCTGCTAGCCGCTCTCAACTTTGATCTCCCAAGTCCCAGCCGCCCAGTTCGTGCTAACACCCCTTCCTAGCAGAAACCCCGCGGCGGGTATTAAAGCAGCGTTTGCCCCCCACCCCAGGGCCTGCGCGCGGCGGACAACGACCCCACGGCCCCCCCCTACGATTCCCTGCTGGTGTTCGACTACGAGGGCAGCGGCTCCACCGCCCGCTCCGCCAGCTCCCTCCACCTCCAGCTCCGGGGACCAGGACTACGACTACCTTAACGACTGGGGCCCCCGCTTCAAGAAACTGGCGGACATGTACGGGGGAGGCGAGGAAGATTAAACTGACCTCACGTTATTTAAAAAAGAAGAAGAAGAAGAAGAAAAACGATTAAAAAGAAAAAAAACCCACAGATGACAACATTAACCGAAAGAGCCGATGCAGAAGCAGGAACTGTACAGATGTGGCAGCTTTTTTAATTAATATCCCCTGCTGACTGTATTGTTATTTTTAGTGGTGATTTAGGAGGTTTCTTTTTTTTCCCCCTTTATTTTTCCTTTTTAATTTTTTTTTTTTTAGAATACTGAGCTGTCTCGCATGAACACTTGTCTCTGCTGCGTTATGGTTTTTTTTTTCCTTTCTTTCTTTCTTTTTAATGTCAGCTGGGATATTGCTCGTTTATCTGCTTTATGACTAAAGAGAGTGAAAGGCACTCTGTCTTAACTTGAATTTCTTAGAACAGAAGCACTGTTGTTAAAATATATATATATATATATATCCATCCAGACAGATCTAGTCTCTGGGGTACTGGCCCTAGCAAAGTGGGCCACAAACTGAATCATGATGGTGTTCATAGAGGTAAAAGGAGGTGGCAATAGGCTAACAGCCATCTTGAAGCCTAAGCAGGTGGTGAACTGAGTCGTCACGTTGTACATAATTCAGTGTTATCAGATGCAAAATACCGACTGGGGGGGGGCTCTGCTCTAACCTGGTCGCGCTCCATGTAGCTGCGTAGGACTATAGCGTTGAGACAGCCTTTGGTTATCGCCACCGAAAGCCCCAGCAGCCCTCGCCTGAACCCTACGAGTAAACCGCGAAATGACCAAAGGCCCCGGTGGTTTGTTTTTATGCTCTCGGCGCGTCTCGGCTCCCACGGCCTCTGCAGCGGTGGCAGCAGCAGCTGGGCTACCTGGTGGTGTCCGCAGCCCGGGGGACACCCCGTGCCCTGAAAACCCCCGCGGGTTTC